TGCTTGAACCTGTGTATGAATAAAAAGTGGACCGGCTCTCTATCAAATTCATGATAGCTGTTGCCTCTCGGAGAAGAGTAACTAGAGTAGGGAGGGGAACTTAAATCAACATTCGAAAAAAATCCCTGAAAAGATATGGTTGTTTTGGTTCTGGGGTTCATGGACATTTGTTATATTGACATTTATGCTTCTGTGAACATTTTTGTGATAAAAAAAATTCCACGTAATATTTCCTAAGGAAAGAAGTTCCAACTAGGAGCCATACATTTGTCACGACTGGGAATGAAACTGAAGCTATTCTAATACATCTATTTTATGATGTTATTCTGTGAAAAATGAAAGTTGACCGTATGAGTCTTGAACATGAGGAAACCTCCAAGTTGATCTGGTTCTTAGGAAACTCTAGTAGATCACAGGTTAATAATAAAGACCCTGACCGCAGAATGCTTAGGCCAAAACCTGGCTTGACATCTTCTAGCTCTGAGGTCTTAGATAAGTCCACTCCTCTTAGCGTCAGTTTCCTTATCTGTAGAACGAGAATAACAGTGCCTGTCTCTGCACTGTTGTGAGGGCTATATGGGTCCATGCGTGTAGTAGCTATGCAACAGAAATTAGCTATCCGTATTTTCATCACTCCTATCAGCAGCCTCAATTCTTTCAGTGGATTATTTTCATTTTCACCTCTGAGTCTTCGTGCATGCTGTTTCTTTGGCCCGGAATGTTTTATTTTTAAATTTCCACCCTAATTTCATCTGGTGAACTCTTTTGCAGAGGTGTTTTCTAAGAATTTTTTCAACTTCTTCAGAGAAGTGTCCTGTTCTTTCCCACCTTGGTTCAGTTCTGACCAAAACCACAATTGCCCTTTAAAAGTTATCCACGGAGGTTAAGAGCATAGGCTCTGGAGTTAGAGACACATGAATTCAAAGTAAAATTCCACTCACAGCTTGCTCTCTGACTTCGAACAGGTTATTTATCCTCTCATTAAACCTCTTATCATAGCCCCTGACATGTAGTATTTGCTCAACAAAAAGTAGTTTTTAAAAAATCCTGGTTAAAGTCATACATATTATATTAGTGCAATCATATTGTAAATTTTTATATTCTGTTATTTTAGTCTAACATTTCATCTGTCAAAATGATTTTTATAATTATTTTTAAATTATAAAAATTTCAAAAATAGAATAACACAGCAAACATTACTATACCCATAAAAAAGGTTATATATTTTGCTGTCCATAGTGTGCACCCACGTTTTTGGCCCAAACTTGTATCCTGGGGTATTACTTTGCATACAGATATCGCTATTGCTTTCTAGAGTTACACTTTTAACACATAAGAATAAATAAAAGAATTAAAAACATGTAGATATGGAATTAGCACTACCGTGTATAATGTGCATCCTTATTTTTCCCTCAAAAATTTGGGCAAAAAGTGCACATTATACCTGGCAAAACATACTTGTGAACTACTCTCTCCTGGACTGTGAACTTTTTCTTATTCACTATATATCATCAGCATCTACAACAATCTTTGACATAGAGTAGACATTGGGAAATTATTAATTGACTAAGTGAACAAAGTTACCCCAGAAGGTGGAAACTTTTATTGAAGTTAATATTTTCAGGAAATGAATTTGACTCAATGTACTTTGACTAAAAGAAATAAGTCTAGGATTATATAATTTTATAAAAAGTACATTTCACATGTATTGGTTTATTTGCAGTAATAAATTATAAGGTAACTCAAATGAAGATTTGCATCATATTTGTAGTTTTAAAGGTTTTAGAGGATCATTTGGTGATCCTGAGGAAAGCAGGAACATTTCCAATACTTTAATCTTAAGGTTTGATTTCTTTATCAGATTATTGATCCTCAAATTAATCAATTTTTTCCTTTTTTTTTTAAAAGGATTTTATTTATTTAGCTTTAGAGTGAGGGGAAGAGAGAGAGGAAGAGAAACATCAGTGTGTGGTTGCCTCTCATATGCCCTCAACTGGGGACCTGGCCTGCAACCCAGGCATTTGCCTTGACTGAGAATTGAACCGGTGACCCTTTGGTTTGCAGGCCGATACTCAATCCACTGAGCCACACCAGCCAGGGTATCACCTTTTTTCTTTTAAAAATAGCAAAAGAGGAATTAACAAACAGGAGATGATACTTCCTAGGGATCAGAATAAGGTAGGCTCAATAGAATAAATTGATGTAATAAGTAGTTTGAAAAAAAAGCTTTTGTTAGTCAGATGGAATCGTTACTTAGTAAACCCATTAGAAGCCGGGACTTTCAAAGTTGAAGAAAAGGCAGGAAACTGCTTTCCCTTTAGTTGTGAGTTTATTTACTCTGGGAGAGAAACCTAAGCATGCTTTAAAATTTGAGAAAGGTCTTTGAGTTCAGATATTAGCATATTTATCCAGGAAGGATATCAGATGGGATTTTGAACTGATTGCAAGCCAAAGTATTAGTTAAGTAGAGAGGCAGAGCAAAAATATGAGCAAGCAACGGGGGCTTTCTAAGCACTGAAGGAATTTTTCTGACTCAGATGTGTGGTAGGGAGGTGAAATTCCAGGGTTAGAAAAATAATGCAGAGATCTACATTGATAAGCACCCTGAAAGTTACAGCCTTGGGAGACTTTCCCCCTCCCCACCTGTGGAGATTTTGTAACACAAATCACTGGGAAATATTACTTTGTAGCCATATTTTCTCTCATCCTACTTCTGTTAAATGTAGTATACTGACATAAATAATTGCATTTTGAATGCATATATTCATTCATCAGAACATGATTATTTATCTGCCAAGCTTGCATCGAGAGAATAATTTTTTTAAAAAATTGAAGTGAAACACCTATCTCTTCCTCAGAATTGTGCTAAATTAGTTATTGCTCAGAAGTATGGTCTGGATGGTACTGCAAGATGCTAAGAGAACATTTTTTTGGAGACTTGAATGTGTGGACTCCTAAAATCCTGCTTATAACCATTTAACCTATTTTATTAATCATCTGCCCCCAAATCAGGGGTAAAGAGGACTTTTGAAGTCATCTACTTAGAAGACTCTGCAGTTTGGGAAACACTGGTTTAAATAACAGTATAATGCTTGTAACCAAGCTACATCCTTGACAAGACTCACAGTGTTAACCTTCAGCACTGGCATCACATGGGAGCTTGTAGAAATGCACATTCTCAGGCCCCCCCACACCTACTGAATCAAATTTCAACAAGATGCTCAGGTGATGCCAGTGACTAGTCAAGCTTATTAAGCACTGCTCTTCAAATCCCTCCCAAGTGGTTTTAAAAATAGAATGTCTTTAGTGATAAGTGACTCATTATCTGCAATACAGCATGTAGTTACCTTTAGGCAGCCTAAATATTAACAGGTTCTTCCTTCCTGAACTCAAACCTAACTTCTTGAAAGTTGCATTCACTACCCATGATGGTAGCTTTCAGAACCAGACTAATGCCTCTTCTTCATGAAGACCATCTAAACATGAGAATGGGCTATTTTATTTCCTCCCTTGAGCTAAGCTTCTACAAATGTAACTAAATCTTAGTTCCCCCAGCTGTTTCTGGTATCGCACTGAGGTTTCTTTACACATGTATTTGGACTAGAAAGTCTTAAAAGGGCCCTTTCAACTTCAATATTGTGATTGCACCTTTACATCAGCTGGTAATAAAGAGCAATAGGTAGAAGGCAATAGAAGCTCAGGAGCTGTATTTGTCTACATTTAGGGAGAATGCTGCTGGGGACACTTACCATGAGCCGTAATTCCTTAGGTTCAAAAGTCTGTGCCCCCCTCCCCCGGTGGAGACTTCTGTCATAACAATGGCCCCGAACGAGCCTTCTAATTTCTAAATGTGTCAGCTGCTTAACACTTCAAAAGTGAATTGCATGTAGAAATATATGCAAGTAAGCATCTTCTATTTCTCTATAAATTTAAGATTTAGAATTTTAGTCTTAAGATTTGGATTTTAGATTGAGATTAAGATTTTAAAGTTTTAAGAAAAAAAATTCTCTATTGTCCATAACTCAGCACATGAACTGATTTCATTTTTCTTTAGTAGCTCTCAGTAATGTGTTGCATACACATCAAACACGTAGAAATAACCTTCCTGTACTCAGCTCTTGAAAATTTTCTTTCTTTACGTAGTAGAATCTAAACATTTTTTCATGTTACTATATGATTTTCATAATAAAGTCTGTTTCCTTATTGCATGACATTACAGCTCTGAATGTGATGTGAATGTATTTTATTTCAGAAAGTGGCATATTTTTGTTGGTTTTCATACTTGTTTCCCACGAATTTTATTTTTAAAAAAACCACATTTTCTACTAACACAGGAAATACAGAGCTGCCGGGTTTTTTGTTGTTCATGGTGGTTTCGCATCAGGGTTAATCTTAAAGAAGACAAGCTGTAGCAGGAGCATTTCAAGATTTTTTTTTCAAAATTTTTTTGAGAATGTGGCCACAGCACATTCTTAAACTAGTTGCTGTTTTTACTAATTGCCCCACATTTTCTCTCCCCAACTTTCTTCTTGATGTTTTCATTCTCCTGACCTCCTCCTCATTCTTGCTCCCCCTCCTTCCTCTTCCCCTTCAGAGGGTTTTCAGGGCAACAGCTCCACCTCTCACCTCCGCATTTAACAATAAAGCTGTGTGTATGTGTGGAGAGAAGCTGAAAAATAAGACAGATGGTTCTTTCATTACCAGGTTGCTTTGGATTAATTGAGCTGGATATGTTATTTTTTTCAAGGAGACTGAGCTGGATCCTGTGGATCATGAGCTACAGTAATGTAATATACTTGTATGTTACTGGTTTTGCTGTTGGATTTTTTGTTTTGTTTTGTTTTGTTTGGGGTAATTTCATTATCCTGTAAAGCATTTTGGGGGGATTAGGAGTGAGTTTAATAAAATAGTGTTTTCATTAAAATGTTTCTAATGGGTTAAAGTTTTTCTTAGGTAGCTGAGCCATTCTTGAAACATGTTGTCTTTGTGTTTTATTTCAGTACTTGCCAAAGAAGAGGCAGCACAACCTTTGTCTTGGATAATTTGTAGTGCTACAAGAATTTAGTAGACAGCCTGCCGAAACTCCGGCACACTTACCACCGTCTGCATCGTCAGCAACAGAGGGCCCTTGGGAAACAGATTTCTTAAAAGTGCAGGTAAGCAAAAGGCATCAATGCCCTTGCCTCGATTTGTTAGATCTAAGCTTGAACACTTGAAAAGTTCTTACACAATGATACAATGTTACCATCTCAAGCAGGTGACTTTAAAATACCCTCCTCTTTGTATATCACTGCCTGTTTATTTGTTATGAGTTTAACAGGAGGCCAAAGAGCCTGAGACTATTAATATAGCCAATTACTTTTCAGCATACCCCAAAATTGAGCTATGGAAGTTTTAAATATTACTTTTATTCTCAATCTGAATGGGCCTTCCTTGGGACTGTTGTAAACCAGTCTGGAAGTGAAAGGGTAAGAAAGCTCTGAAACTAGAACGTTACATGAATCACAGCTATTACAGAGACTGCTATTAATAAGCTGTGTAATTTGGGGCAAGAAGCTTGGCCTCTCTGTGCTTTTCTTTCCTCAATGGAATGAATTTTAATGTTCTGTCTTTAAGTGCTACAATTAATAATAATTTTATTATTCAAGTACCTTAAAGTACTTGAATACCCTTGTTTGTGGATTTGTTTCAATACCCTTGTATTTGAAAATCATTTTGTGAAGGGCACCTATTGACTGAGAACTTCATGAGTTAGTGGTACTGGCGAATGTGGACATTTATAATGGTTTTGGGATTTAGTCCTTGAGAGTCTCTTGATCTCTTTGTTACTCATATCAAAATTATCATGAATGCCAATGCCCTTCCCCAGTGTCCTGAGCCACTGGGCTTGCTGAACTCCTGAGACCATTCACCGAGGCTGCATGTAGGGCTGCATCTTCAGGTTTCCCACTGCAAGAAACATCTTAATTTAGTGGAATCGGGGCTGTAATGATCTTGGTGATTTGTGGAACTGCTTTTCCTGTCAATCTTTACATCTTCTGGCATCCCGAACATGGAAATATTTCGAATCTTTATATCAAAATGGTGAAGAGCATGGATTCTGGTGTGTTCCTGGGTTCAAATCCCAGCCACTTTCTATTTGGGTGTTCTTGGGTATGTTATAATTTCTCTGGGCTTTAGTGTCTTCATCTGTATGGTAGGGATGACAAATAGTACCTTTCTTAAAGGTTGGTTTTGAGGATTAAAAAGATTTTACGTCTAAAACACTTAAAACAGTTCTGTCACATTGTGTTTAGAAAATTGAAACTCTTTATTTTATTGCCATCCATCACAGTGCTTATTCTTCTGTCCCTATTCTCTAGTCTAGGGCCAATGAATAGACCACTCTTTTTACCTTGATAGGCGTTGCTGATTGACCCTGGTATTTGCTTCTGAGCCCAGAACACAATATTTGAATCCTTCTCAACATTGTAATGGATCCAAGTCAGAGTGAAAGATGAAACCTATTTTCCAACTCAGATTATTTGTAGATTTCTTGACCTTGTTCTTTGCTTCAGTTCGATAGGCTGATTACAAATCTGAGTTATTTGTTTTTATTGACTCGGAACAGTTTTATTATGAAAAGCATAAAAAGGTGTGGATTCTACAGCCAGAAATAGGGTCTAATTCTAAGACAAGTTTTGCTAGTGAATTATTACTATCTTGAATAACTTTTATATTCAGAAGGAGTTGAATAAGGCTCCCTATCATGAATACTTTGAAATGTTGAAATGAATGTGCAGAAATAATAGCTAGCATAGTAATAGAAGATTAGTTTTTTTTTGAGGCTATTATTCACACAATACCACAGTTCTTTAGGATCTTTTTCAGGATGTTATGTAGTTTTTTAGTGAGGACTTGGTGGATGGACAGCTAATATTGGGTTGGCCCAAAAGTCCATATGTTTTTTTCCTATAAAATAAAAGACAAATTTGTCATTTTTACCAATAACTTTATTGATTTGGATATTCTGAGTGTGTCGGCTGTCTCCCATGTGGTATAACGTTGATTGTTCTCAGTTAATGACTCGATGTGATTGCTGTCAACTTCAACCGGTCTACCCGACTGTGGGGCATCACCCAGTGAGAAATGTCCAGCATGAAACTGGGCAAACCACTTTTGACACGTTTGATCAGTCATAGCACCTTTTCCACACACTGCACAAATCTTTTCTTTTTTCATTTTTCAGTTGCAGTTTTACATTTCGTCAAATATAATAAAGCATAATATGCCAGAAATGTTGTTTATTTTCTTTCATCTTAGTATTAAAATGGCTACTTAAAAAAATCACCAATTTTGATGTTTTTTTAAATGCATACTGATATGACAGCTGTCACAATACAATCTAACAAAATTGTTTTTGAATGACGTTAAAGACAACTAAATGCTACCAGAGCCATCTTACAGAAAAAAACAACAAACTTTTTGGCCAACCCAATACTAAAGAAGAATTAAAGCAAAATTAGGAGGATTCCTACCATGTGGGAGACATATATCTACGTGCTCTATATTTACTCCACAATAGCTCTATTAGTTAGCTCCATTATTCCCATTTTACAGGAGAGGAAACTGAGGTATGAAGAGGTTAAGCAACCTTCCAGGGTCATACAACTAGTCAGTGGTAGAGCGGAGACTCAAACCTGAAGGCTGATAGCCAAGCAGACAACCGTAACACCTAATTATGCTATTACCTACAAAGAATAAATTGAATGAAGAAGATGAGAAGATGAAGTAACCACGTAAAGAAGTCTTCAATGCCAGGCTAAGTGATTTTATGTTTATTTGACAGACAATGAAAGCCACTGAAGGTTTTACTGTGGGGCAGGTGACTACATGAGAGTTGGGCTTAGAGAATTTTATGCCAGGTGCAACATGTGGGCTGGTTTAAACACATGGTTTAAAGGGAAGAAAGATTAGAAATTATTGCTGGTAGTTGAGAAGCAGTGAGAAAACATGGGTTTAGAAAACATGATGAAGATAAGAGCCTGAGAACACCTGTATGTAGATGTGCTGAGGAGGAAGAGGAGATGTAGAGGCACAGGCCAAGAAGTTAGAGGGCTGAGACCCAGGCCACTGCAGTGCCACCCAGGGGAGGTGGTTCAGGAACTGAGGACCACAGGGATCAGAGAGGACGGGAACGGAACAAAGGCATGTGGTTATCGCGCACCCACTATGAGACTGGAATCGTTCTGGAGAACCCACGTAGAAATGTTCTGTAACCTTTGGCACATTTTTAAATCCTTCAAAGTCTTGGCTGCCTCTTCCGGAATATGGTGACTTAAGACCTTACTCTGTTTAAATGCCCCAAACTCTTGGAGGCTTTCCAGCTGTAAGATCTGCAGTGCTTGGGTGAAAATTGTGAATAGCAATAATTGGAAATTAGTGTAGAGGTTTGGCTGGTGATTCGGCTGGCACTTGCAGGTGAATCAGAGCAGGTTGCAGAATGAAGTGTGTGTCCTGTAGGTGTTAACTGAGAGAAGTCCTATATACAAGATGGGGCAAAAGGAGGCTTACAGTTGTGAGTACACGAAACACAGAGTTCATTCTTGTATTATTTATTAATTTGTATTTTTCCATACAAACAACTGTAAACCTAATTTTACCCACTGCTGTATGTTTCCTCTCAGAAATACCAGCAATGACCTAGTGATACTGATAGTAAATGGAAAGATAAGAGTGAAAACAATATACAAATGAAAATGTCTAGGGAATTTATAAAGAAACTATAAATGTCCCCTACAATGGTGAGGGAAAGTTTACTTTTCAGAGTCTGACTAGCTTCTCAAGAGAAAATTCTGTTGACTGGAAATTTTAGAAGATTAAGCCCAAATGATTTTTATTTATTTATTTTTGACATTAAAATATAAACATCACCTTTATTGGTAAGTTGGGGACACAAAGGACTTCACAGAACAACAGAAAGAAGACAGTATCAAGAAAACCCAAAGGACTTTTAAAAGAGATAAAATCAAAGGGCAGATAAAGAGCTTCCCAGACAAGAAAAAACTAGAGGAGTTCATCATCACCAAATCGTTATTATATGTTAAAGGGACTTATTTAAGATAAAGAAGAAGATCAAAGCTATGAAAAATAAAATGGCAAAAAAACAAACAAAAAAACCACCCAACCCACAAATCTATCAGCAATTGAATCTAAAAAAGTAAGCAAACAAGAACAGACAGAATCATTGATACTGAGAACATTTTGATGGTTGCCAGATGCAAGGGGGGAGGGGGAGGGTGGGTGAAGAGGTGAGGGGATTAAGAAGTACAAATAGGTAGTTACAGAATAGCCATGGGAATATAAAGTACAGTATAGGAAATGGAGTAGCCAAAGAACATATACGAGACCCATGGGCATGGACAATGGTGAGGGGATTGCCTGAGGGAGTCGGAGGTGCTGGGTGGAGCGGGGCCAAGGGGGAAAAATCAGGACAATGGTAATAGCATAATCAATAAAATATAAAAGTAAAAATAAAATAATAATAATAATAGAGAGATAGTATGGAATTTAGAATGAGCTTCCAACTCCTCTCAAAAACTGTTTTTGTGAAGCCCTGATCCTCTCTCTCAGTGGAACGAAATGCTCTTTCTCCTCATGCTTCCAGAGTGCTTCTCCAACACACAGATCACCTGGGATCTTCTTGAGATGCAGATTTGACTCAGTGGACAAAGTGGTGGAGCTGAGATGCCTCAGTTCTATCAAGTTCCCATGTGATGCCAATGTTGCTGGCCAATGGACTGTAACTTTGAGAAGCAAGGGTCTAAAACATTTGGCTTTAGTTCTCCCAACAGATAATCATACTCATTTTGAAACAGTGTAACTTGGCTCCCTCACCAGACTGAACTCTGTACCCCATTGTAAGGTAAAGAAGGCAGTCTGGCTTCCTCACTCAGGTGTCTGGGTAACTAAGGGAAGCAGTTCCTCACAACCTTGGATGGGCCTGATAAAGTAGTGTTCTCATAGCCTTGAGTCTGGGTCCGATAAACCGTCCCATAGCCTTGAGTGGGCTCGCATGTGTAGTGTGAAGTTTTGCTGCATGAGGTCTGTTGGCATCCTGCCAGCTTTGTTTGTTTCTAGTATTTAAGTGGGTAGGGACTCCCTGCTGGGTACTACA